GAACTGCTTATCTCCACGGCTGCTCATTAACATGAACAAATGTTCCTCATTGCTGTCAGCAGATGTTGTCATTGAGGTAAACTTTTGGTTTTCTGTTTCAAATCATTTATATGAGTAATTATTTTAATTGGGCAACCTGGTTTGTAAAGAAAAAAATAAATAACATTAAAGACAAAACTTTTTTTATCTGGAATGTGAATATATGTAAATTGGTCGTGAGGTTCAGAAAACTGCAAAGGGGCACCACCTGAAAAATTAGCTAAGGCTGGCCTTACGAACTGTACAGCATTTTGGTCCTATGGTTGCTTTAAGTGCTTTATAAATAAAACTGGTATACGTTCATTATATTTCTGTGATCAGTTCCTTCACTAATCAGTACAAATCAAAGCAAACCAATCATTACTAATCTGAAGTTTGTCCTTGTTTGACAGGTTGAAGGGACAGAGGAGCAAATCTAACAAAAGCAAACTACCTTAAATGGCGGGTCAGTAATAAAAAGCACACACATTGGTTCTGCTATCCTTGTGGGGACTTTGCAATGACTTCCATTCTTTTTTTAATTGCCACTTCTACAGTCCTATCATGACCTCTTACCCTAAAATTACCCATCCTACATAACTGTCTCTAAAACTAACCTCAACTCAATTCACACCTTGATTGTAAAACTATACCCCACACCCAAAATCAGAATCTGTACCTGTGGGGACCATGCAGGCATTGGTTCCCATGTGGAGCATTGGGTCTTTACAAGACAGTGTTTGTCTGGAAAATGGTCCCCATGGTGTAGCAAAAACATGCCCACACACACAAATGCATGCACAATGAAAATGTATAAGCAGGCATTTGTGACTAACTGTTTYTTTTGTTTCAGAGCCAAATTTCCCTCCACTGCCTGGATTTATTCCTCTCAAACCTTGCTTCTATCAAGACTTTGAGGAGATCCCTGAACAGCACCGCAGCATGTGCAAGAAAATGTATCACCTGTGGATATGTGAGTGGCTGTTAGAACTGTTAGATGAAGTTCTTAACTCTTAATTGCACAGTTGTGTTGCATCAACATATACTGGGCTTAGCTCGCTTCAATTAAAAGAAAAAAAAATTAAAGGTTTTTAGCATCAGAGATTAAACTGTGCCACCATGTTTCTACAAYGCTTTTATTTTGTGTACTCAAAGTGTTTCCTCCTCTGTGACCAGGTGCTGTGTAACAGGGAAATGGTTCCTGTTGTACTTTGGGTATAATATGCTTTCACTGACTGACTGTAGATGTGATAACTTTATTGGCTTGTCTAAATCTTTGCCAATTGTCAGTTCGTCAAACTGTACTCTAATAATTATGCAACACAGTGATCTCTGGATGATACCCTGCTGTCTGTCAGACACATGTTGAGGAAAAAAGGCAGTATTGAAATGATAATCATAAGATCATGTACCACACAAGAGGAAGTCAGTAAATAGGAACAGTGCAATGTGAAAATAGTAAAATATAGTTGCAGATAAGTTGTGGATGCAGGCAGGTAAATTCTTTTTCCTAAACATGATGAGCTCAGAGGAAGCYCTTTGTGTTCGATAAATGCTGTAGCTCAGGGTTGTGTCAACAAATGTTGATTACATCAAGAATATTACATTTTGCAGAATAAAACAGAATGTCTGTGCCCCAGACTGAATATTCTATAATGCAGCAAAAYGTTTTCTGTCTACAGGTACCTTTTTAATCATAAATGCTAAACAAGAAAAGGTATTAAACGCTCTGATTTACCA